ATAAATCTGCCAACTGTTTTCTCAATTCACCAATTAATTGTCTAGTCTGGTCAGAAAAGCCCTTTATTGTGTCATCAATCTGCTTGTTTTATTTAACCAATAATCCAAAATCCAAAGATATTCAGTTTAAAATCATATAGTAGACAGAGAAAAGCAGGAGAAGCTGGAACTTGATAATGATATTTATGCATGAAAAATGACTTAAACATCCGATCAATAATCATAAGAGTTGTTGATTATCTTTCTGTTGAAGACTAACTTATTAATCAACTAATCAGCGCTACATCTCTTTCACAAGGTATCCTTAGGTTATTCCAAAACTGTGGAACTTGATAGGAATTTTTTAACTTGAAATTTAAAACAATGCATTAAGAGGATATTCCTCATACGTAACTTCTTCAGCAATCAAACATCATTTATCTACCAAACGTCCAATCAAATCAAACCATTTTCAATCAAATATTTATTCAGCAGCATCAAGAAAAAATACTGCTTTTTATATTTTGTACAAGATCCTGTGACATGTTCCACAGAAGCATTCAATAACACCCATATTCTGTGCACAATGTCAGGCAAGGCCTCTCCCCAGAGATAGAAACCTCTAGCCTGAGAACTGAGGGTCATGAGTTCTACTTCCTGTATGAGGGCTAATAATAGCGGGTTAAACCCAAAGAGTCATCTCAAGGATTTTGTTTGGAAAGCAGCTTTTCAAGTGTTGTTGTTTTTCCAACAAACCAACATCAGAGCTGATTCTCTCCATCTGCCTCTACCTCCGCAGATGAGGTGTGCGAGCAAGCACACACAGCTATAAATACATGCATGGATGCAGAAGCACGTACGCGTGCGCGCAAACACACACACACACACACACACACACACACACACCATTAACATTGTCAAAAGCAGCCCTGTTTGAAGTCCAGTGGGCAGAGATATTGTGGCTGTCACCAAAGAAACACAGCATAACACATTCAGCAGAGCCCACAGTATAAACAGACAGCAGTTAGAGTGATGATGTCAGGCCTCAGGAGGACGAGAGGAGACCACTCTCTCTGTCTCTTACCTCTGAACTTCTTTGGAGGGTTGTTGAGGTCCCCCGCATCAGGCTGGACGACACAGCGGTCATCCACCAAGCTGTGAATATAAACACATAAAAACACTATTAATCACGCGCAAGTACTGCACAGTACACACACTGGTGGAAACCAGACGATTTGTGATCTGTGTTTTGGATATCTTGGCTATGTTTTGGTGTTGTGTCTGGTTGGTGTCTGAAATCATAGGTAGATAGGTAGGTATCAATTATTCAATCAACATAACATCAATGCAACTATTTTGATGATCAATTTATTGTTTAGCTAATTTTTTTTTTTTTTTTTTTTAAAGCAAAAATGCAGAAGCTGGTTCCAGTTTCAGACGTGAATATTTGGTGTTTTCCTTAGTTTTCTACGATAGTAAACTGAATATCTCCGGAGTGTTGGTCGGACCCATAATGGCTGTTTTCTGATACTCTATAGACCAAATGATAAATTGATTAATAAAGAAAATAATGCAATTTTTTTTTTTTTAAGTTTTTTTTTTGGGGCAGTTTTTGCTTTTATTCAGAGAGGGACAGTGAGAGAGTGACAGGAAAGTTGGGGAGAGAGGGGATGACAGGCAGCTAAGGGCCATGGGTTGGACTGAGCCAAATTGGTACGCGCTCTACCAGTTGAGCAACCGGGGTGCCCCACAATGAAATTTTTCAGTAGTGAAAATAATTTAAAAAAAAGCCCTAATCCCAACCCAATTTCTGTCTGAATTATCTTTTGATTATGTGATTAATCACAACTGAATATAGCCTAGCAAAAACTGAAAACATTTCCAAACTCAAATGGCATTAAAATTTACAATAATATAAACCAAAAAAAAGTAAGTAAACACAGCAGTAATCTTCACAATAGAAAAGCAGGAAGTACGCTGTATAAGGTTTCACCTATTTGCTAAATAAATTACTTAAATGATCATCTGATTATCAAAATGGCTGTTTAATGTTTCGATAATCAAATACATTTTCAGTGCGACAGTAAATCATCATAAACATACTTATTGAGATGTATTGAGAGTGGTGTTTTGCTCCTGTATTTGAGTTGTTGTTTGTCACATTTTTATATATATATATATATATATTCATATAATCCCTTTGTGTTTATGTGTGTGCGCTGGTTTGGCTGTGTATTAAAAGAAAAAGAGTTAAACACAGCCAAAAGCACTGACAACATAAAGTTCTGCTCGTGTTTCCTATTTTCATTGAGAGCTCTAACACGGTTGCAGCATGTTTACTCTCCCACTCCACACAATAAAGAAAATCATTCTGGATTGGATGAGCTGTGGGCAAGCGGGAATTTCTGGTGACAAATTTAGCTTTTACTGGCTTAGAATAACACTTGTCTGGACACCTGCCAAATCCCACATCCATTTCAGGCCTTTTTCCCGGGGAATGTCTACAGTTGTCCAAACAGACCTGTCTACTCCTCCTCCCTGTACACCTCAAGGAACAAGGCTGCAAACTTTTGATTAAAAAAAAAAAAAAAAAAGTCAGGACATACCTAGGATGTAGAAATTAGACAGTATATGTGTGTGCGGTCATCTGCATGTGTGGGACGATGCCCATAACTTGCTGATCCCTCTCAAGAGTGGTCAGTGATTAACACGAGTTTAGCAGTTACACATCTGAACAAACAGAACAAGTGCTGCTGCAGGCTCACAGTACAAAGCAGCATTTTTAACATTTAATTTGCTCATAGACACCTCTCTCCAGTGACCAAACAGGAGCTGGGGCTTGCTGCTCAGCAGGAGGAGTTATAATGCTCAAAGGGGTTTTCTCTCTTCTCAGTCCAGCTTCTTCCTCTGAGTACAGAAGATCTGGTGAATGCAGCTGTGTTGGTGGTTTGTGCGTGTGTAGCTCAAAGCCAAAACTGTCATCACATTTTTTTTTATTCATTTTTTTTTTTTAAATACGTGCGCTTGTAAGTATGTGCACAAGCATGTGTGTGTGTGTGTGTGTGTGTGTGTGTGTGTGTGTGTACGTGGGATGCACTGGAACTCGAGAAAGGCCACAATGTCTCTACAGTGACTCAGTCTTTGCTGTAGGTCATTCCATTTTTCATGAGCAGGGGGTGTCGGAGTGTGTGTGTGTGTGTGTGTGTGTGTGTGTGTGGGGGGGGCGCTGGACACTGGGCTGATAGCACTTCTGATGCATGACACCATATACAGCAGCTTCTAATAGATATCTGCTGATTTCTACCACAAAATATTGACGCAAGCTTTCTCTTATTTCCCCTTTTCTATTCAGAACAGAAGAGGAAGGGTTAAATGCAATAAGTGTGGATAACAACATATACTATACTAACAACAAATACTGCATTCGTGATACTTTAGTGATACCTCAAGACCAATATATCCATTCTGTTCATGATCAATGTGTATCTTACTTCGGGAAAATCAATAGCAGTTCTGTTCTGTTCCAGATATGATGGAGATGGAAGACAACAACACAATATTACTGCCACTGTGTGGGTGAATGAGTGCTTGTAAACAAGAGTTTTACCATTAGTGTTGAGCACTGTGCACAACACCACCTCAGCGTTTCTTCCTCTGACTCTACCCTCCACACCCACTCCTGCCACACTCTCACAACACATGCACACTTTATCTTTAACGATGCATTTGTCGCCCCTGTATTTCCTTTTCTCGCGGCACTATCAGTGGTGGGGGTCGGTCGTGGTCAAAAGCATCACTTCAAAAAGGCCACCCTCTGTTTTCACAGCTTTGTTCTGTGGGATGAACGGCAAAATTACAGCCATTTATCTCTCCTGACCCACCTAGTTAATCCCATTCTGTCACTGACAGTAGGAACTGATGGCTGTGATACAGGCAAACAAATGTTCATCAGTCGCATGCGTGACTAGGATAAGAAGGAAAAGCTCTTACCGATGGAACCAAAATTCAGTCACCACTACTAGTATAATTTCCTTCCTTCCAAACACTGCTCAGATTGCAGTGGAACAGAGAGATGTGTGAAATGGGCTTACACACACACACACACACACACACACACACACACACACACACACACACAATGTTCAGCCAATAAGATGGACATACCCCAGGGTGCTGATGAAACCATTGGTGGATCCCTCTGCATACAGGGAGCAGATGTCCCCAATGTGTAGGAAGCTGGACATCTTATCCGACATGTTCGACACACGCAAAGGGAACACCTGCAGCAGGAGAAAGGATTTTTTTTTTTTTAAGAAAAAAAGAGTACATTCAGTTGAAAAGTAAACATTTTAAACATTTTTCACACCCTGTTCTGCATCTTAGAAATGTTACTGTCACAAAACATCCTTACTATGTGACAATGATCTCCAATTACATTTCCTCAGCTGCAGATATGTAACACAGGGTGCACTCGCAGATATGATAATAGCAGTACTCGTGTAGCTACAGAGCTCCCAGTTAGGTGGCAGCACAATGTTAAGAAGAGAAGCTTCCCTGAGAGGTCGCGACTACACTGATACCACTGACTGGCTGTATAGATTTGCATAGCTGCAGGAAACGTCTCTGTTTGATATGACTGTAGCCTGTTTGTATTTGTATGTTGTGGGTCATGGTTAAACAGTTAATGATTGAAGAGATGCTGCCCCACCAGGAAGGCAACAGGTCATCGCCACTGAAGCTGCAGATATGTGTGGGCACTGCAGGTTCACTCCAGTCAGGGTGGGATTATGTGCCTGCTTTTGGAAGCACGTCCCATCTCACTGATGTCGATAAATCATTAAAACTTTATCTAACCTCTAAAACACACGTGAAACTTGAGTCAGTGCGCCCGGTGTCATTTTAAACGGCATCCGCAATCACAATGTTTCACACAGCAGTAGGAAATTATTATCGGAGACGAGACTCTTTTTTTTTTTCTTTTTTTTTTTTCCTTTTTTCTTTTTTTTTTTTGGCCACTTGAGTAAATGAGAACATCACAAACACACACCGGTCATGAGCTGGGAGAATTTTTGTTAACCATTTAAGGAGAGCGAATTAAATCTTCGTCCTCTTCTGCGAGAAGAAGCAGAAGCAGAAGAACAAGAACAAGAAGAAGGAGAGGGAGAAGAAGACAGAGATAGAGGAAGGTAAAGTGAACAAGTTGTGCGCTCAACTTTACCTCGGCTGTGGTAAACGCTCGGATGTTCAGCTTTCTGTGGAGCAGCTAAGACAACATGACTGTGGCTTTCCTCTCCTCTCCTCTCCTCCCCTCTCCTCTCCTCTCGCCGAGGGTGAGATCCAGCCGTCAGTGACTTTAATAATCCAGTTTCTTTTTTTCTTTTTTTTTTTTTGACAGCTCTATCACCTTTCCGCGCCTGTCGGAGCTCCGGGGCTGTGTTCACTGAGGCAGGCGGCACACTGGCTTGGCTGAGCCGTTTTGGCTCGCTGCCAGTTCTTCTTCTTCTTCTTCTCAAGCGCTCGCAGTGTTGATAGCTGGGAAATGATGTCCATTGTGGCCCTATCCCGTACCACCAAGGAAACATGAGCTGTTATCACTCCCACACCGCAGTGCCTTGATTTATGTGGTGCAAAAAAAAGACAGTTTAACTGTCACACAGCAGCGTATTAATAATTTTGATTGAACAATTATTTGAATGGTATTTTCAAGTAGGTGATTTAATGTACATCAAAACAGCTTTATTTACAACCCCTGCTCATAATTTGCAAGACTGAGAATGGATTAATAGAAATTAACAACAAATATTCACTTCGGGCAGGAAAGAGTTACACTTGTGACGTCGCAGCCAGCTGACTGACCACGTGGTTTTGCGGAAGTAAGATTACCAACAACTTGAGGAGATCTTCTTGAAAGAATGCTGCGCTGTTTTGCTTTGTTCATCATCTTTGGATGTGTGAACAAAGTTACGTGTCTTCAGAGTTCATGTGGGGCCGAGCAGGAAGGCGCCGCCCCGCAGGGAGCGGCGGGCTGCGGCTGCGGAAACCTAAAGAGAGCCGCCGTGGACCCTGCGGTGGAGCACGGGACAGTTTCAGTAGACTCAGCTGTCAAATACTCCAAAGGCGCCAATGAGAGGCCGCCTGAGGCTCAGGGAGGGGAGAGGACAATGCAGAGCCAGGTGAGCTGGGGCTCCTGTCATGTGAATACCAAGCAACTCCCTTTTGCTTTATTGGACAGGCTCACAGGCTCAAAAGCAGTCAGTGTTGTGAGGCTCGTGTGGCTGCAGTGTTGTACAACATACTTTACCCAGGTGTAGTCTGTCAGCAGGCTGATACAGTAAGTTGCCTTGCTGTCTCTCAGCAACAGCACAGACGAAAGTCAAGCTTTACCCCATATCTGCCATTTCAGTTTGATGCACAATAATTCGGGCCTCCACGGCTGGCAGTATAAATATAACGAGTTTGAGCAGGAAGTCGCCAGCAGTTTTTTAAACCCACTTTCATTTCAAACCGCTTCAGAAAAAGGCCTTGTGGTTGATAGATGCAGCAGACTATTGTTTAGTTTCATTTCCTTGTTCACTATTATTTATAGATCAGTCTCATCTCATCCTCAGAAAGGACACTGTGCTTTATACTCCAGTTTCTCACTTGGCAAGTTCTACCAATGAGAGTGTCATTTTTGACACTGCTTAGTTTTGGCAATCCTGGTGAAGAAGTGTGACTGCTCAGCTCAGAGCATGGAAGTATTCCAGTATTCCTTGTCCTGGAACACCTCAGATAATATTACATGACAGGCCCTGCACAACACGTACTGGAGGTAATGGAAGGTAGGCAACTTCTGGTGCCACCATGTAGGATGTAAAAATAGCATTGTTCAAGAAATACTTAAAAAATATGTAATAATTTGGATAATAATAAGAATTGTTTTCTATGCTGCACTACAAATATGTTGATAGCCAACTGTTAATCTGATATAATTATGTTCACTCATAAGATGTTTTTTTTTGTTGTTTGTCGTTGTTGATTTTTAAATGCATTTGTTTCTCTGCTGATATCAATTCCTAGTTGTATTATGTTCTTCTTCAACATGTATTGCAAAGTCTAGTGGTCAGATAGCTCTCAAAGCGATGAGATTAAGTTCCCAGCCTTTTGAAACACTCATAATCTTTTTTTAATTCTGTAACCTTCCTCTTCAAACTTAAGAGATTCATTAAAACTGCTCTCGGATACAGATGGTGCTGATTTCTGGAGGAGAATTCCTGATGGGGACGGACAACCCAGGCATCCCTGCAGATGGAGAAGGCCCTCAGAGGGTGGTGCATGTGGACTCCTTCAACATGGACATCCAGGAAGTCACTAACAGGCAGTTCCAGAGCTTTGTCAATGCCACAGGATATGTTACTGAGGTATGAGATAATTACTGCGTGTTAAAATGTGTTGGTGAAGTCATTAAAAATCAGTTGAATCAATCAAAGCAATCAAAAATGAAAGCAAATATGTGGCTGTGGTTATTGGAATGTTTAAAGGTCAATGGGCATCACCTTAATAAATAACTTAATAATATTTTTATCCTTGTACTTTTAGGCAGAGAAATTTGGAGACTCATTTGTATTTGAGGGACTTTTGACTGACACAGTCAAAAACCAAATCACCCAAGCAGTAAGTATGATTATTCAACACTCTGTACGACTCACTGCACCAGTAGGACGTGTTGTAGAAAGATGTTTTTCTTTCTCTGCACTTCACAACAGAGACAACTAAATCAGGACACAGAGTCACACAAACATGTTTACACATGCACACACAACACACACACACACACACACACACACACACACACACATTTACAGATGCACACGCCACACACAACCTAAAAATCTATCTATTTATGACCTACTTTATTCTATTGACAATCTGTAAATGTTTTGAAGTGCCACTTTTAACATTTTCATTTTGTTCAGTTGTGGTCCAGATTGAATCACAGTATTTTATATTGTCTTCAAATTATGTTACCACATTACATTTTATCTCCACTACCACTCTCAACTAACTACTAAAGGTAGTTACATACAGTATACATTTTAAATGCATAAGGTATTTGGACGTCACACCTTCTGTAAGCATTGTTGGCTATAATGGCTTGTTCTTTTAAATAGTTAAGCTGTTCAAAGAATATGATAGAGACTGCATTTTCCTATAGTAATGAAGCAGGCAGAGTAGCAGAGAGTGCTTAGTTATGATAAGATATATACAGTGGGATCCAAATGTCTGAGACCACTTTCTCATTCAATTGAATGGGAAAGTTTTCTCATCTATGAAGTAAATATTCCTAAATTAACAATTTCTTATGCTCGCTGCCAACTGCAAACTTTGCCTAGAGCAGTAAATGATATTGAGTTTTTCATCCTCAAGGAGCATATGACAAAGATTTCCCACAAGCCATGTGAGGCAACGCTTTCAGAAAAAACAAGAAGAAAGACATTGTTGTGTGTGTTTCATTGAGAATATGATATGCAGTAGCCTGAATATCTTATGTGTCTGTGTCATTTTGTTTATATGGTATTTTTTTAATCCTGCTCAGACCATGATTAATTTGATCATTTTTAGACTTATATATTTGCACCAAGCCTCTATCTGAAAAGTACCAGCCTGAGGTTGCACATATTTTTGGCTTTAGATAGACATGAAGACATACACCACTGTTATTTAAGTTTTGAGAATGTTCACAGATTGGTTGTACGAGGCCTGAGCACAGCAGGCCTCCCATAGACGAAAGCCAGACAGCAGGGAATTTACTGTTTCATCTCAGTTGTCATGTGCAGCCTGATCATGTGGCTGAGAAGGTGCCATGTGCCCATTAGTATGGCAACACTAGAAACCATTAGTACCATCATCGGTAAACTAAGGACACTTTTAGATGAACCCTGAGGAGGGTAGGTGAGAGGAAAATCGAACAAGCGCATGAGAGAAGCATAACATCAGTGTGTAACCATTGTTCACCATCACGTTGTTATTAGGTGGCTGCTGCCCCCTGGTGGCTTCCAGTCAAAGGGGCACACTGGAGGCACCCTGAGGGTCCAGACTCCAACATTGCAGACAGGTAGATACACGCTGTACTTACTGTTCTAAAATCTTCATAATTCATTTATTTTCAGGAATACACATTTTCATTACTCCATGTCAGAGTTGCATATCAATGCCAAACTGAACCTTTACTTTCACTTGCTTTTATTTATTTCTGTTATATCTTTTGGCAAAAGCAAACTATGAGAAATGAAACAGGAGCTCAGTAATTAGCTCTTGTTTGTAGGCCGGACCATCCTGTTCTACATGTGTCCTGGGCAGATGCTGTCGCCTACTGCTCCTGGGCCAACAAGAGACTTCCTACAGAGGCAGAATGGGAGTATGCCTGCAGGGGCGGCCTGAAAGACAGGTATGTTATTTATTCATTATGTGAGTATAAAATATTACAGTGCTTGTCCATGTGCTGTGGTCGCCCCTTGTCAATTTCCTGATGTGCTACTCCTGCGTATAGACTTTACCCCTGGGGAAACAAGTTGAACCCAAATGGACAACACTATGCCAACCTCTGGCAGGGGGATTTCCCCAGCCATAACTCTGGAGAGGATGGATACATCAAAACCTCACCTGTAAGTCAAGCAAAGAAAGAGAAATGCCACAGTTTGGGTGCGTTTAAAGACACGTCATATTTCAGGTAATGGAGGAGGACGAGTGCTCATGAGCCATTGTCACGAAACTGGAAACAGATTTATAATTAAGCCGCTGCCTATAGAATCTACAGGGAAATGAAAGGTGCTGGAGATAAGAGCTCATTTCAGAAGTCGATAAAGTCACACCAGGAGCTTGGAGCTTCCAGAGATCAAATGAATAACCATTAGATAATATTAATCCAATCTCATTCTCTACAGGGGGGGTTTTAAAGCCTCAATTTTAGAAGTATCAATCATGATTGTATGCACTCAGATTATTTAAAGGTATGAGCTGCTGAAAGGAAATTGTCTTTTTTATCTGCATCTCTCTGATCCCACAAGTTGAAAATACAGATATATCTACATATCACTAATTATAATAACACTTTATAATGAGTACAATGCAACATGTTTTTTATTCATCTCTGATTTTGGCAGCTACAAACACGAAAATAGTTTCAGTGGCATATAAGGCAATAGAAAGAACAATGGAGAAAAACAGATGAGACTGTCTGTAAATCCAGATCGCCTGCTAAATGATCTGCATTTGTGAGTCACTTCTTGGAAAGTTCCCTCAGAGTCACATGCTCATTTTGGCAAACGTAACAATATGCACCTACAGTACAGCAGTATGCTATAGGGACTACATATCTGCCATGCTTTCATCAGAAACAACTGTTTTTCTAATAGTTTGTCCTAATAAGAATTTTTAATTAGAACCTGCATTAATGTGGTACTATTTCCTCATAACCTACAGGTGATGTCTTTTCCCGCCAATGGCTTTGGTCTGTATGACATGGTGGGGAATGCTTGGGAATGGACTTCAGACTGGTGGAATGTGCATCACACCACAGACCGGCAACACAACCCAGTAAGAGCACAATCACCTCTTAAGACTTTTAGTTTTCCAGGTTTATTTTGGCTCTGACATCTCCTCGTCCTCCTCTCTCTCAGAAAGGTCCTCCTTCAGGCACAGACAAGGTGAAGAAGGGGGGGTCATACATGTGCCACAAGGTAAAGAAGATGAGCACTTAAGCACTTTTATACTAATTATTTTCTTTAGATTTTTTTTTTTTACTAATGTGGATGCTTAACTGTTAAAGCGGCTTGTTTTGTTGGCAGTGGGGTCTATCATGATGAGTGTGGGTCAGCGAAAACAAAACAGTTCATGCTAGTGGTGCAAATGTGTTACAGCAAGTAATGAACCTAAATAACAACAGCTCTGACATCAGCATTTGTAAAGAGAGTAGGTGAGCTGTCTATTACTCTCCACCTGTTTGATTACAGATGGAAAATGCAGCCTCTGTCCTATTGTGTCTTTTCCTGCTCGTACAGTATGCAAGGCTAAAGTAGAACCACTATTTTTCTGGATGTAGTTTCCAGACACTTGAAAAATGTGAAAATTTCATAATGTCCATAGAGAGTACAAGACAGCTCATACCAGCACATACGGTACATTTATTTTATCTGCAACACCATTTGAGCCGCCCACTGGGCATTCCAGTTTGTTTGCCACCAGCAGTGGTTGCTATGGGAATGTAACTAATTGCATGCAAAATAAGTCCGAAGCACAAAGGTCTGTTTGTTTCATATAAATAAACCATGTGAGGGAGGAGAGGACAACAGTCAGACACACATATGTACAAACAGGTTCAATAAAAGATGAATAAAAAAAAAATTGATTAAGAAATTAGAAATAAAGTGGTGGCTAAACTAAACTGGTCGCTGTGTGATTGTCTCGATAGTTTGTGTTTATTTCAAAAACTGTAACAAACCAGTTTTCCATTGCTGAGAAAATTAATTCACTGACAGTAAGTTTCCCTCTTTTCTTTCCCCTTCCTCCAGTCTTATTGTTACAGATACCGATGTGCGGCCCGAAGCCAGAACACTCCAGACAGCTCAGCCTCTAATCTTGGTTTTCGCTGTGTCTCTCAGGAGCAACAGTGACCTGACCTGCTTGTCTTGCCTGCTCTCTGACCCCAGTGTTGGAGGCAGAGTAAAACCATGAAAGCAGTATTGATAGTGAGGCTATTTACGTGCCATCGCATTAGCTTGCATCTGAAGGTGATTTAAAAGAAGAAAAAAAGACAGAGGGCTTCAAACTGTTTGGAGTCAAGAATGTCCTATACTACTGCAAATACTGTCAGCACTCCTAAATACTAAAAGTTTATTTTTTCAGACTTTTCAGACTTTTTCATTCAAAATGTATAGAAACATTCTCTTTACACCTCTGAGCACAAGTGGAGAGAGACCTGAGCAACTCAGCTCATTGTTTCTGCTTGGGTCAAAGAACTTATCAGTAGCAAAGATCAATGTGGAAAGAGATCTGAATTCAGTTGAAGTCAGTTCTTAATGAACATGACCTAATGTACAGTATAACAACACAGAGATTGTTGTAAAAATATTTTTCTAGACATTTTTTTGCAAGCTATGATAAGTCGGTGACAAATGGAACCCTGAATGAAACCATTTGTCTTTCTCTTTGTGTGCGAGTGTGTGTGTGTGTGTGCGTGCATGCGTGCGTGTGCACACGCGTGTGTGCTTGTGTTCATGTATGCATCTTCAAATTGAAAGTTTATATATATTAATTTTATTGTTTCAACATTTCGACATGTTTGCCCTATTATATCCCTTAGTTTTACTTTGTGTGAATTTTTCCATAATAAAAAGAGAAGCTAACCGAATAAAGCTTTTTTTTTTCTTGGTTAGACTCAGAAGGGTTATATTGAATTGTTTGTGTGTGGAAGACTAAAGGTTTGGTTAATTGATGCTAAATCTCTCAGTGGTACTGTACCTGTACATACCTGACAGCCATATTAAGCAGGTTTAATATGTAGTTGTAGTGCACAGTGTCCACCAGAGGGCAGAAAATGCTCAAATATCTAGTTATCTATCTGTCTATCTATCTATCTATCTATCTATCTATCTATCTATCTATCTATCTATCTATCTGTTTATCTGTCTGTCTGAAGAATCTACCAATATTGAGAAATTAAGCTGACACAGTATAATCTCTGTCTGAAAAGCTGATACAGGGCAGTGAGCACTGTCATGGTATAAAGCTGATTCAGTAAGCTGTGACTGAGACGGGCTTAAGTTCCTCTATGATATGTGATTTAGGATCCACATGAAACCAACAACATGTTTCAGCAAAGTGAGTGTGTCTGCCTAAACTCAAAGGATATAATAACTTGGGGAAAAAAAGACCATATGTCTGCAAAAGAACCAAAAATTATTTATTTTGACTTATTCAGTATACATGTTGCATGTGAAAATAATAAACTAAGCAATTAGCGAAAGAAAATCTAGCAAAATAAGCGAGTAAATGGGGAAAGAGTCAAAAAGTTTCTAGTGCACCTTAGTAAAAAAACAAACATTTGTATTTCTAGCATTAAACATCACATTTATCAGCAAACTAAAATCCTATTCTCTTGCAATTTAAACCAGAAAGTTCAAAGGTATAGTTGATACAACATTACTGCACAATTGCTAACATTCAGTAGACAGTTTAACAAGTCTAAACCCCGCTGTCAGCTTTTAATTGAAGTTCATACAAACTCCGTTATCTATCAGTGCACAACAGATTACCTGTTTTACAAAACAGAGAAAAAAACACTGATCTCTACTTAATAATGCTGCAAGATGACAGTCATCCCCTGCTGCCAGATTATTAACCCAAAAGAAAGAGAGTCAAAAATGTACCAAGGAAAACAGCATAGCAACTAAGACAACCTGGAGGCTAAATACAGCTGCCATCTTGGAGAGTCCAAAACAATTAAGAGATAGAAAGAATCAAACAAAGGCGATACGCTATACTAATAAAAATCCTGTCCTTGATCACTCTGCCTCTTATTAGCAAAGCTGAGAATACAAAAAAACATTTGCAACTTTATTCAACTTTTGCACCAAAATGGCAAAAGTGTGTCTCTTTGTGCTGCTGGAGAGGCAGCCAGGCCTCCTTACTAAATCCTCACCACATGTAATAGCTACGTGTGGTGTCAACAGGAGAGGGTTTTCCCTCTGTGCTGCCATCTTTGTCCTTCTCACCATCAGCCTCCCACAGGTTGATCAGTGGAGGGTAAAGCTCGTTGAGGGGGATGGAGGAGGTCTTAAGCATGTATTTCTTCAGAGAGTGGTGGTAGTTTTTTCTCTTCCATCTGCGGGCCATGTAAACGCCCACAGTGGCCAGACTGAGGAAGGCCAGCATGGTCGCCATGACAGCGAGCACAGCCGCACTTGGGTGCTGGTCTGACAGGTCCAGGGCAAAAGTGGCGCTACGTGTGGTCACATTAACACAAGACTTGTGCGTCTGCAGGTGGACATTTGACACTGTGAGGCATACCTCATACTCAGTGGCAGGCTGAAGGTGTGTGAGGTTGTACTCATGAACGTCTACAGGGACGCGAGCTGTGTAGGTGATGTGCGGGTTGTCAATCTTCATGGTGGCCGAGGCCCACTTCAGATTGGAGGACATAACATTTGAGTTGACTTTCCAGGACACCAGGATGGAGTGGGACTCGGTCTGCTTGACAAAGATTTTCATCACCTGGGCGCTGTCAAGAAGGGTGCCATTGACGCGGATGGTGGCGACTCGCGTGTCAGCGCCCTCTGTGTTCTGGGCCACACAGGTGTAACGACCAGAATCTTCCACCTGCACATGAGACAGCCGCAGTGTCCCCTCACTGCTCAAGTGGTACCGCTCTGACACAGTATCTATAGTGATTTTGGTCCCAAGAGGGGTCACCCAGTAGATCTCTGGCTCTGGCTCAGCCATGGCCCTGCAGTCCAGACTGACACTCATGCCCAGCTCCAGGTTCAAATGGCTGGGGAAGGTGTCGTGGGATATGAGGGGGAGGCACTGCTCCGGGGACTCCACCAGCCTCAGCTCTCGAACCCGCTGGCCCCTGAGTTCTGTTGGGGAGCTGCACATCATGGCCAGGGGCTCCATGAAGCGTATAGTGGTCCTGTTAGAACTCATCCACTGAATGACACAATCACAGCGCAATGGGTTGCTGTGCAGACTGATCTCCCGCAGATTGGGCAACACCTCCACAGTGTGCTGGTAAAGGGCGGTGAGGGCGTTGTTGTTGAGCATCAGGCTCTCCAGGGAGGGCATGTCCCTAAAGGCCAACCTGTGGACATAAGACAGCTTAGGGTTGTTTGTCGCCTCCAGCTTCGTCAGTTCAGGTAGGTTGTCAAGAGCATAGCGGTCGATAGACACTAACTCCATCATATTGTTGATGCCCAACTCCTTCAGACGTAGCATGTTCCTGAAGTCTCCTTCCTGCATTTTGCGAACTGGATTTTTGTTTAAATCCAAGAATTTCAGATTGGGAACTTTCTGAAGGGCCAGTTGAGGGATTCTGACTAGTTTGTTGTCATAGAAAGAAATGCTCTCCAGGTTATCCAAACCTACAAATGCATTTGCTGGCACATCAGTGAGGTCCATGCCAGCCAGAACCAGACTCCTCAGGCTTCCTAGAGGTTTAAAGTTCATGTCTAGGAGGCCAATGACCGGGTTCTCCCCGATCATGAGGATTTCGAGGTTGGGTGTTTCTTCAAACCAGCGGCTGTCTATGACATGGAGCCTGTTGGAGTTAAGATGAAGGCGCAGTAGGCTATGCAGGCCTGCAAATGCCCGAGGAGAGATGGAATTTATCTGGTTGTGGTTGATGTAGAGCTCCTGGAGGTTGGAGAGGTTTCCCAGGCAGTGGTCTGGCAGCTGACTGATCTGGTTCTCCTCTAGATGCAGAGTGGTCAGGTGGTTCATGCTTGTGAGGCCCACCGCTTCCACAGTGCTGAAGTTGTTCTGAGATAGGTCCAACTCTGTCAAGTTGAACAGTGCTTCCAGCTCTCCACTGGTGTGTGAGATGGCATTACTTTGAAGCAGTAACACCTGGGTATCTGCTGACAGGTTGGTAGGGATGTGCGTGAGCCTCAAGTCATTGCAGTCCACTGTAGTTGCCTCCTTGTAGGTCGACTGTGGGGTGAACCAAGGGCGGATCTCGCATACGCACAAACAAGGACATTCTTTGCTATGTATGGGTGACAGAAAGGAAAGAAGCAATCCCATGCACAGCCAGATTAAAGGAGGCCAAGGCTGAGAGCTGAGCGCCATTTTGTCTGCTCTCTCTGCTCAGACGAAGCTTAGATGAGAGGCAGTGTTCAGGAGAAGGGTATGAAGGGAAGGTTCATGAGCATTAGTCTCCTTTGCTGCTAGATAGCTGCTGTAGGCCCTTTAGTGAATGGTGATTTCTAATCCAGAGGAAGGTATTTGCAGAAGGCAAGCCCGAAGAAGATCTGGTCCGAACCTCACCTCTGCACCTCACTTCCACACCTTCAGGACCTAAAAAAGACAGAGCAAGGCAATTTAGATATACTATATATCTAACACAGTAAAGGAGTTAAACTGAAAAACAGCTGAATAGAGAAAGGGAGAGAGTTATTACTTGTTTCTTTGCAGAGGGTTACAAATGAGGCAACTGGCAGTTTTCCACACTGCCACCCCCCAGACATTAGGGGGACTAAGTTGACGTGTCTAACGGGGCAGAGTTAATCTGTCAAATTCGTCTTGTTGCCCTGCTGTTGTGTAGACATTCATTCCTACCTCTTTTAATGAGCCCATACACAGCCAGAGACTTTTTCGAAATACAGAAGATGTTACTTCCGGATGTTGAAATAAAGTTCAATGAGACCATGGAGGCCAAAAACTACCAACCACTACAATATTTACCAGGCCATTCTCAGGCCAAAGATATTGTTGCTTTAAGTGCAAACATATCTACTTCTTTTTATAGGTTTAAACTAATTAAAGATATTCTGTCAAAAACAAGATAACAGTTTCCTGATACAGATAAATACATACAGTATGTTCTTGTGGAAGTGACAGAAATATAATTCATATTAAAGAGAATTTTATTACTTTTTACACATGAACTAACAGATACAGTGGAGCAAAATTTGGTACAGTATGAACTCTATTTGTCAGTAGCTAAGAAGATAGGGTTGATATTAGCCCTGCTTCCCTGATGTGCTGCATATCTGTCTCCTCAGAGATTACCAACATGTTTTTCTCTCTGGGCTGGGTAGATTATCTGCATCCCAGCTTGGTATCAGCGATCCTCTTGAGCGAGTGTGTGGGGTGGGCACAGCCGGCAACTCTGGCTGTGAGCCCATTACACAACAGGCTTAATATACAGGCAGTGTGTGCTCTTCACTGTTAATCACTCACTACTTATGATACAGACCCATGGGAAGCAGTCCTACTCATGTAAAGTGAATTTAGCATTATTTTAAAGTGCCAGCGTTGTGGCTGTGTGCATGCCATACTCGTCCAAGTTTGGTCAAACCAAGACACGCAGAGAGAGGCTGAAGTAGACTGACAGACAGAGCCCCCAAAGGAATAGTGATATTTTACGCTTTTGTTATAATCTCTCCATTTCCTGACTCGAACTTCTAGAAAGGGCTGTGTGGATGACAGGTACAGACTCAATTTCCAGAAGCAGATTTGGCATCATGAGCAGCAACATGAGGGATGAGGAATCAGTCACCAGTTTCTTTCAGCAAATCCTCATTTGTATCAGTGTATATTAAACTCTTAAATATTCTTTGTCTGGCCAGGTTGTACGCTGTGTGGATTTATAATGTTAGCATTTGAGGTTGTATTTATGTGATGGG